CCCCCCGCGGCTCGGCGGCGGCGGGCCCCGATTCAGCCGCTGCTGAAACTGACCGCCAGCGGCTGAATCAGGGACTCCTGGGGCAGAGCCGGACTATCAGAAGGGAGGGCTATGAGGGGGTCTGGGGTAGCATTCCCCCACCCCACCTCAGACCCCTCATAGCCCCCCCTTCTGATAGTCCGGCATATCTGATAGTCCGGCATCCCCTGGGTTCTAAAGGTGCCGGATTATCAGAAGTTTACTGTACCCACTTCATCAGATGAATTGGAGTGGAAATAACAGAATCCAAGATACAGATAACAGCAAAAGAAATACCTGTCAATTGTAGGACCTATGTTAATGAAGCTAATTCAGTGGGCTAGATGTGTCCCATTTATAGATTCTGATGTGAAAATGTGGATGCTAAAAGGCAGAGGAAATTGGCTTTGTAATGCATTAACCAGTTAATGTTTTTATTCAAGCCCAGCGTAACAGTGTTAGACTTGCAGATGAATTCCAGTTCTGCAGTCTCTCTCTGTAATTGGGTGGTGACATTCCTTTGTAGAAGAATGGTTCCTTTTAAATCCACAACTGAGCGACCAGGTAGGTTAAAATGTTCCCCTATGGGTTTATGTGTATTGCCATTTCTGATGTCTGATTTGGGTCCATTTATCCTTTATCACATTAACTATTCGGGTTAGCCAATACACATGGCAGAGGGGCATTGCTGGCACTTGATGGCATATATCACTTTAGAAGATGTGCAGTTGTATGAACCCCTGATGTTTTGGCTTATATGATTAAGTTCTGTCATTGTCTCACTTTTATAGATATGTGGACAGAGTTGGCAATGTGGTTTGTTGCAGGGATAGGTTCCAGGATGAGTGTATCTGTGGTGGGGCTGCTGGAAAGGATTTGCTTCAGGTTGGACGTTGTTTGTAGGCAAGGACTGGCCTGCCTCCCGAGGCAAGTAAGAATGACAGATCATTTTCCAAGCTAGACTGTAGATTGTTAATGATGTGCCAGAGTGATATAATTCATATGATCATCGAAGGCATAAATACATTGGCATTTTTTAAAGGGGCCTGATTTAAATTAATCTTCTATGTAACAAACTGGTTAATGCTGCATACGTGTAATTGTCTTTTAAAAATCTGATACTTATTGGTTCTGCTGTGGTCATTTTTATAAATCTCTTAGATCATGTGAATGTAATGTTTTATTGGTGGTTTTCCACTATTGCTCAGAATCATACAGTCCATCCAAAAACCAAAATTAAGAAAGCAAAAAGCTGTGATCAGTGTTATTCAAACACAAAATGTTGAGCTGCAAGATAGAACACATTTCCCCATGTCATGTCAAATGTTATTTATATTCTATTCTGATGAAAATCAAGTGATGCCTCCTTCTGGTACAATGGAAAGTGGAGGTCAGGACCAGAGTTTGTAGGGGAGGGAAGCCACAGGGAAAGGGGGAGCCAGTACCAATAATAATGAGAAAAGTATCATTGGGAATTGGAACCTGTCAAAGGCTTTGTAGGAGAGGGAGCCTAAATGGAAACAAAAATGGGCATGAGGGCTATTTCTGGAGTTCATGCTGTATGTAAGAAGGAAGCTGTTGAAAACAAGGAATGATGGGAAATGCAGTTTTGTTGCACAAATCAAGTTGGTATTCTGTTCTTTGAGTCACATCGTCAGACATTGACTTGACATCAGTGAAAACACAGTGATGTACACCAGGGAGGATCTGGCTACTATGAATTAAAGGAATGCTTCTCTGGGGAAAAAAAGAGAAAATCTTGAACATTTTGTTTGCATACTGTGCTAGCAGTTTTTAAAGGTACTTTTACAGATGTAGATGTTTTATTCATATTTCTTAGGTAATTGTGAGGCACAGCTTCAGTCCTTAATGGCTATAAATGATGTTATGAATTTCAGTAATAAATAAATTCCCTGCTGGTGATGTACTGTACATACTACTGGAATAATGGTTGGTTCATTTTGATGAAGGAATTGAAGTTAGAATTTTACCTTAATGACTTCCTATAAAAAAACCCCTGAAAGGAAACATAGCATCAAAATAAAATATTTTTCTTTAATAGAAGGGCTTTAAGAATAAATCTTACTAATTTATAATGTATTTCCCTGATTATGTTCAGGTGCTGATGTGGAAAATATGTCCCACTGTGCCTCAGAGTTGTGGCAGACAGACACCTCATGTTTGCATGTTACTCTGGATGGGTTGCCTTGACTCCATGATTAGCTGGTTGATGAAACTGATGTTCTCATAAACCGCTAAATATATTCAGTGCATTATAAAATGTGCACCTGTGGGATATTCACAGAAATTAAAATCCAGCCTTGAACATCACTCTCATTGGCTACTCTATGAATAGAATAAACCCTATGGATCTGCATCAAAGTTGCAGAAATCCCTAGAGTGAGACTTCATATATAATTGCTTTCTTCATTTGAGCTTCCACTGCAGTCTCATTCAGGTGCAGACTTATTTCAAATACAGCCACTGGAAAGCTTCAGGTATTATAGTTAAATAAATCAGAATTCGGTGACGGAAAGTGCAGCCTCCTGGTTTGCATAAGAAACTTCCTACTGATTCGTAGGAGAAAAGTTTTATATGGAATGGATTATCCTTTTATGGGGTATTAGATCTAAGGATGTTAAATTGTGGTTAATTGACTAGTCAAGTGGTCGATAGAATTTCCATCAACTACTAGACTAGTCGATAGGCACTTCCACATTCCTCTTTTGAAACGTACAAGAGGCCCTGCTGGGCTCTTATATATTTCAGGGGAGGAATGCGGAACTCCACATGTAGCCTGGGGCCAGTGGGAAGTCCCACTGACTCTGGGCTGCACTTGGGTGTGCCTGCTTTGAAATGTACAAGAGTCCATAGCTGAATGCCACAGGGAGCCCCGGATCGTGAGCCCAGGATCAGCTGGACTCCCCAGCTGATCCCAGGTTCTGCTGAAATGCCACGCGGAGCCCCTTTGAAATGCTAAGGTGGACTTCCAGAGGGCAGCAGCTGCACAGCTGATCCCTGGCTTAGCTGTGTGGCACTGCCCCTTTAAAATGCCACCTCAGCATTTCAAAGGGGCCACACTGCATAGCTGAGCCCAGGATCAGCTGTGCGGCTGCCCCTTTGAAACACCAAAACGGCATTGAAAGGGGGCAGCACCACACAGCTGATCCCCAGCTCAACTGTGCGGCACTGTCACTTTGAAGTATCCCTTCTTCTCCCCTCTTCGCTGCCTCTATACATGCATAGAACTTCTCATGATGAAGTTAGAGCAATGCAGTGTCAGTGTAGACATTGGGTTGCTTATGTCTCCCTGAATGGCTTCCAGGACATTTCCCACAATGCACATCATGACTGCACTGGTCAGCAGTTTGAACTCCACTCCCCTGCATGTACACAGGTATGGAGCCCTCACCCAATAAAACCCCTGGAATTTTTGAAATGCATAGAACTTCTCATGATGAAGTTAGAGCAATGCAGTGTCAGTGTAGACATTGGGTTGCTTATGTCTCCCTGAATGGCTTCCAGGACATTTCCCACAATGCACATCATGACTGCACTGGTCAGCAGTTTGAACTCCACTCCCCTGCATGTACACAGGTATGGAGCCCTCACCCAATAAAACCCCTGGAATTTTTGAAATTCCTCTTGCTATTTGTGTTAACAGCTCACATCAGATGTTCCCAGCTGATCATGCAGGCTCTCTGGAGCAAACACAGTCGCACCTGCGGAACACTGGAGATGTTGGATCAGACGATTCTGTGGGGAGAGGAGGCTGTGCAGTTGTAGCTCTGCTGTAGCTGCAGGAACTTTGATATCTACGGGCAGATAGCTCATGACATGGAGGAGAAGGGGCCCAATAAGGACATGCAGCAATGCCATGCTAAGATGAAGGAGCTGAGGCAGGTGTACCAGAGGGCAGTGGAAGCCAGTTGTTGCTCTGGTTTGTTGCTGAAGACTTGCTACCCTACAAGGAGCTGCATGCCATTCTCTGCAGTCACTCCACTGCCAAGAGCCCTGTGGATTCTTTGGGGAAGCTTGAGGCGGAGGCCAGAGGAGTGAACCTCAAGGATGAGGAGGTTGAGTTGGAGGAGAATGGTGTGGCAAACCAGGATCTTTTTTTAACTCTGGAAGAGTCTAGGCAGTGTCAGCACACCAGTTCTGGCATTCTGATACAGGAGAGGGGAGCTCTAGTAAGCCCTCATTGTGCTTTGGTACAGCTGGGAAACATAAACATAAAACTTATTTTTTTTGTTTGTTTAGGTTTAGGAATGTAAAATCCCAATTAAACAGTTAACCAGTTAACCGACTAAGCAGCCTCATGTGGGGCTGGTGGGACTTGAGCAGCCCTTCACCCATGGCAGGCTGCGGGCGAGGGGTTGCCAGTTACCTGTTTACATCCCTATTTAGGTTAGAAAAGGGATAGAAATAATATAAAAGCTTCAGGGGGTAGCCAGGATAGCCTGTACAGGATAAACATGGGTCTGCACATCCTAAACTCAAAACTCCGGTCATCTGAAGAAGTGGGCTGTGCCCACAAAAGCTCATGATACCATCTGTGTATTTTGTTAGTCTTTAAAGTGCTACCAGAAATAATATAGTTTGTATCTGCTTCTGATTCCACTGGGCAGATAGGCAGAGGGGGTAAAAATTGTTGATGCATGCTGGGATATCCCAGGAATCCTCCATGGAGATTTCTAGGGAACTTTCCTGGAGATACTCTTGCAATCCTCTGCTGAAGGCTTTTTGAAGATCCCCCCCTTGCAGTAGGAAGCTTTGCCACACCCACAGGCAATTACTTCTTCGGCAACGAAGTAACACACCTGAGCAACACGTGGACCCACTTTGTAGCCACATGCATGCAGAAGCTGTACTCTTGCACCCTTTGTTATCCTCAGGAATGAAATATCAGCTTCTGTCACACATCCCCCGCCATGGAAAATGGTGACAGTATTCAGAGTAATGTTCCTAGGTGCTAGCAAAGATACCCTCTGAAAACCCTTTAGCATTTCCTCATCTTGCTCCTTGTCCCTGAGAGTGAACTCACCAGGGTTAGGGTTCTTGCCATGCCATGTGCTTGCCAAGAGAAGGTGATACTGTGCGTGCACTCACGATAGTTTCTCTATTGATTGTTTCTTCATCTTCTGAAGATGTCTCCATGGGGGAGTCTCTTCCTGCACACCAGCTGAGTGTTTCCTTCTAATAAGGAGTCAAACCTGGAAGAGGAAAGAAGACATGTTTTGGCAGATGCTACAGTCCTATGCTGCTGCATATAGTGAGCAGACAGCATCAAGAGAACCTGTCAATGAGAAATTGAGAAGGGAGAAGAAACAGGAGCAGAAGCAGATGATAATTACTTGCCGACCAGACAAACATGCTGAGGTCCAGTGTTCCCTCCCATGCTTTTGCATCCATGAAAAGAGCGAGTTTTGTCATGTGCACCAATATGGAGTTCATGTGTGCTTGGGCAGATGTGTGCCAGTTACTAACAAATATCCTAAACATAACATTATGGAAGAAGAAAGATTACTAAAGCCAGGGATACCCAAGAAGGTGCATGACTTTAAATGTTTATTTAATATGAAATCAAATAAAAAGAAAATGAATACTGAAAAATTTCCAGTAACCATTTAGTATCTTATTAAAAAGGTGTCTGCTCTTCATGTCTGCCAGGAACGTAGAGTCGAAGGCAGGGATTGAGTTGGGCTGTTGTGATAGATGTTTTAAATCGCTTTCAGCTACTGGCTAAATGTTATTTAATGGGCTCACTTCTGAGCACTTTTGGTGCATATATTGCTCCCTATTACTCAGAAAACAGAATTTAAAAAAAATATTTCAGTTCTGTTTACATACCTCAAATCTTTCAGACAATTTGCTTTGCCATTCATCAACGCTGATGTGATTCAACTCTGGGGAGAGACTGAGGAATGAAACCCTTCAGCATATTTTATTCATTTATTTTTATTTCGGCACCTAAACAATGTTTGAATGACATGGGTGGGCAGCAAGCTTCAGCATTTTAGCACCAAGTTAGTGCAGTCTCATTCTCGCGTCTGAATTGCTCTCTCTGTTTTATGGGCCGCTTCCTGTCTTGTACTCTGAACAGCAGCCAAGCAGCTGGAGTTACCTGGGGGGAAGGGGCAGAGGGGACAGGGAGGTGCCACTTTTACTCAAAGCAACCCATCTCTTGGGAGAGCTGCCGGGGAAGGAAGAGGGGGGAATAGAGGGGACTAGGAGCATCCCCTGCTTTTATTCAAAACAGCCCAGCATATGGGGTTGCCTGGCAGGAGGGTGGAGAAAATAGAGGGGGACAAGAAGCAGTTTAAATAAAATGGTGGATAAGCATCAACATAAGAAGTCAACTTAAGTTTGCAGTGTAGTCTCAGCGTTAGTTCATCCTTAGAATGGGAATGTAGTGATCCTAATATGGGGGTAGTCAGAAATGTGGCTACTGGATTATTTCAGCACAAGACTTGCAGGAGTATCAGTTTGAGTCCAGGTGCTTCACCACATGAAAGAACCGAGACATATTTCCAAAAGATTGTTAGTGAAACCTGTTCTTGAGTATGCTCCCTTCGGTTCCACTAGAGCCAAGAGGAGATGTGGCGGGACCATTCTCCTTCCCCTCGGCACTCCTCTCTACCCCTCGCAATAAAAGACTTTGTACTGGAAGCAGTGATTAGTAAAGATAACACAGAGAGAACACCCACTTGTGAAGATAATTGCACTTTGAGTTAATTCAGTTAAGATCTGCCAAGCACACAATAGTTTTGTGCGTAGGAAGTGTTCTGCTTTTGTATATTTTCTCTTTTGCCCATCAAAATATGCCTACGTTGCATGCTAAGCCTGGGCTCTGACTCAGGATCAAGCCAGAGTCCCCCTTCTGTCCACACATACACATAGTCTGATTTGGGTCAGCAAGCACTCAGGGCCTGGGAACTTACAGGAGGTGAGGGGGGGTTCAGAGTTTGAGTCCTCTTGGACTCAGGTTCCAGTCTTGTCATTTTGCAGTGTGGATGTTGGCGGGGACAACTGCTGAGGATGATATGGGGGTAGGGATGGACCATATGATTGCTTCCTCACGAGAGTCCCTGTACTAGCCCTAACCCTGGGGAGATGCCCTACCCAGATGCCCTACCCAGAACGATGAGGCCTGGGGAACTAGCAGGCGGAGGCTGGCACTTGCAGCAGGGGTCGGGGGCCTTCCTGCATTTATTGGCAGCAGCAGGGAAAAGTGGAGTGACCTGGCTCTAGCTTGCCTGTCAGTGAAGGGGTTGGTCTCACTCCCTCCCCTGAGCGACATGGCCAATTCGGGGGAGCAGAGTAGGCTATGGCCAGGTTATGTCGCCGGTAATTGCAGGGGGTCTGACTCCTGCTGTGAGTGCCAGTTCCCCCATCCCCACTAGTCCTCTGGGCCACCCAGAGGCTCTGGTCCCACCAGCTGCTGGCTCCTTTCCCCTCCCAACCATGCGGTTTGGGAGGTATGTGCCCTCTTCTGCTCTCCCCCACACAAACGGCTCCAGGATCCTGGCCTTCTTGCTGACCTGTCAGGTGTGCATAGTGCACTATGGATCCATGAGCTTGGCTGACAGAAATCCAGGTTAACAATGCAGTTTGGATGCCCACGGTCAGGCCTGAAAACACTGGGGCTATGTCTACACTCGCGGCTTCTTGCGCGAGTAATATGCAAATGAGGCTAAAAGAGGAATATCGCCGAGCCTCATTTGCATACCTAATGAGCCACCATTTTTTTCAGAAGAGGCTCTTGCGCAAGAAGGAGCGTCTACACTGCCCCTTCGTGCACAAGAAAAACCTTCTTGTGCAATGCTGTTCTTCCTGAAAAGTAATAGGTGTAAGTAATTGTGCAAGAGGGTTTTTCTTGCGCAAGAAGGGGCAGTGTAGATGCTCCTTCTTCAGCAAGAGCATCTTCTGAAAAAAATGGTGGCTCATTAGGTATGCAAATGAGGCTTGGCAATATTCCACGTTTAGCCTCATTTGCATATTACTGGCGCAAGAAGCCACGAGTGTAGACATAGCATGAGTCTGCAAGCCCAAGTCAGCATACTCAGGGTTTCAGGGTGGACATAGATTCGTAGATTCACAGGCCAGAAGCAATTGTGATCATCTAGACTAACACCTGTATGGCACAGGTCATAGAACTTCCACAAAGAAAACATCTTTTAGAAGCCACATACCGGTTAGAATGTGAGTTCCATGTGTTTTGGCCTTCATCTGAATATGGAAATTGTGATAGACTGTTTTTCCGTTACCAGCTACTCCTTTCTTCTCCCAGTTTGAACAACTTACACTTACAATTTATGCCACTGCATGCTCTCATGGGCGTTAACCCTGCTTACTACTGGTCTGAATTGTATGATTGTTTTATTCTGGCCACACAATGAAAGAGAGTCAGAGTAATGTATTGTGTGCTGAAGGGCATTCACCTCAATGCCAACATTTGTGTCTTGAAATGAAAAGCCCAATGAAGTTAAAAGTTCTCAGTGATGGGACTCTTGAGCACTCAGCAGTTTTGAAAATTAGGCCATGAATGTATTTGCCTCAAGGTGGGATTTTCAGATGTGCAGAGTTGGGCCAGCTGTGAGTGCTTTTGAGAATTCTGCACTCAGAGCGGATCTAGGATTCTAGCTGTCGGCACTCCTTTTTGAAAATCTTGCCTTTGTGTTAAGTTGCAGAGGGGATGCTCATGATAGCTGGGATTTTTGTAAGCTTTGGTGACGGAAGGAGTTGCAAGTCTAAGAAAGTGTAACATTCTGAGATAATTTCTTAAGCTAAAGAAATAGTCGAGTCCTGTTGTCATTGTGGTTTTTTAGCTGTACAGTTTATTAGGCCATAAGAAGATTGTAACTATAGTCTTATTGTCCAGTAATGTAGCACTGGATTAACTGCAGTGTATTTCCCTTCAAAGCCATGTGGTTCGTTATAGCAGAAAATGAGCTATTGACTGGTATCTTATCATTTATCTAGACTTCTTTTTACTGTTTGAAGTGCTTCTGAGAGGTAATAGGCGGCAATTTGCATTCTTTTGTTCTGTGAATTTTACCTGGCAGGCTTGTCTATAGGCTGCTTTGTGAAGGGAAAAGAAACATCAAGGATGGATGAAAAATAGAGCAAAATCATGACCTTATTATCTACTTTTGTCACATTGAAATTCTGCTGATTTAGAATTGCTTCACTAAAGCAAACACAGAAACAGGAAGCCACATTTTTTGTATCGTGCAGGAAGGAAGAAAGAAACATTACATTGTCACTGGAAGCATGTGCCCTCTTTCTCTCCTGCTTTCTTTTCTCTGTCACACTTCTTTTTAAATCCACTTCCCCCATTACTTTTACAAGAATTCCACCGAAAGACATAAAAATGCCTGTCTCCCTAGAACAAGATTTCCGAGAGGCTTTTGTCCATCTGCTTATGAAAATTCAAAACATGCTATTTAAATTATTTAAAATGATGCTTATTGATTGTCCATACTAAGACGACCTGCACTGGAATCCTAACGTGGCAGTGTTACTATTGTTTGAAAGTGTATGGATAAAAATGTAAGGTGACAGGATCTCATTAAAGAAACAGATTTGATTTGAAGCTCTGATGCAACTGTTGACAGCAAAATTAAAATGATTAATTTGTAGAAGGAGAAGTGCTTTGAACTAATTTGGGAAAAATATGGCTGTAATCTTGACCATACCTCTGAGCAATATTAGTTATATAGAAATGTGGAAGTAAAAGATTGAGGGAGTATTTTCAGGTAGGGGAGGAGAGGTGGCAATGTCAGCACATAATTTATCCACATTATTTCCTAAACTTTTTTTTTTTGTTTTACAAAAGATAAAACTAAATAAATGAACAAAATTGGTGAGATGCCATTTCTTCTTTAAATCCCCTAGGCATTTAGTGTATGCATCATGTTGCAAAGAAATGTGAATTTAAAATAATTAAGATCATAAATGGCTTTTGCATTTAATTATGTATATTTTCCTTACATCGGAAATGCAGGTGTCCAATCTTGCTTGATAAATGTTATACTTACCTGAAATAGGTTTAAAAAAGGGATCTCTTTTATTTTCCTTTTATCACGCTGGGAATTTCAGTTAATGCCTTAGGCAAAGTACCATAGAAGGAGCTCCACTAAGAATGTTTGGAATTCCTTTTCTTCCCATAAGGAAATCTGAGGAGTGAGAGACAGAAGAAAATATTGTAGTTCTATAAAGATCCGATTAACTCCTGTTAGTTTATTTTATTTTCGTCTTGTAATAATTAGAACTACTTGAAATGTGTTAACTGTATCCTAAAATAAGAACTGGGTTACTTCTTCTAATTCTTAATGAATGCATATCTGCCTATCACTCTGCTAACATAACTATAGATAGTGCATGTTTGTGTGTGAGTGTAACATTTTCCTTTTGATCAGATATTTACATTTTAGAATTTAATTGCTGAAAACATGGTTATGAAGTCAATCATATTAATTGTTCATGTAAGCTAGATTTTGGAGTTTATGTCTTTAACATTTGGAAAGATTTTTATATAGATTCACATGTGTGTAGGCAAGGCTTATAGGACTAAGGTTGCCAGGCGTCCAGTTTTGAACCGGATAGTCCAGTATTTGAGCTTTCTGTTCAGGAAACAAATTGAGAAAATATAAATAAGAAAATATAAATGTCCAGTATTTTCTAAATAAGATGTAATGTAGATTGTGATGTAACGTCAAGTGTGTCCGGTATTTTTGTTGAAACCATCTAGCAACCCTATAATAGGACTGAAGGCATTAGGAGAAAATTAAAACTAGGCAGCACATCATTTGGGGAGCACAAACAATCTCCCTAGTCCCCCTAGTGTTTATATGTAAAAATTCCAAACATACAAATGTTTGGTAAATGTTTTATGTTGTTATAACTGTGTGGCTTGGTTTTCAGAATGTGAGAACTAGCTTTTAATTTCTTTCCTTGACTGCTCACCAAATAATTGTATCACCTTGCTCCCCTTTCCCCCCTCCCTATCCAAGTTGTTAGGGTTGCCAGGTGTCCGGTTTTGAACTGGACCGTCCAGTATTTGAGCTTTCTGTTCAGGAAACAAATTGAGAAAATATAAATAAGAAAATATAAATGTCCAGTATTTTCTAAATAAGATGTAATGTAGATTGTGATGTAATGTCAAGTGTGTCCAATATTTTTGTTGAAACCATCTGGCAATCCTACCAGTTGTAGTGAAAATATTTTTAAAGTGCCGAGAATTAAATATGTGCTTTACCTTACACAGGAAATATTTTCTATTGATTTCAGTAAGGAAGAGACTACGTGTACTTGTGTATGTGTTTTCAGGATAAGGGCGTAGTGTGTGTGACTATTTTGTAGCAAACTTTTGTAATGTGATCAAATGTTATCAAATATGCAATATTGTATAACACAGACTTGCAGTTTTTAGTTAAGCAAGGATTGCAGAACTGAGGCTTAATGTGTATGTGTGTGAAAGTGCTTCCTCATTAAAGGCTCTGTATCCTAGCTCCATTATGAGAGACCACATTTGCTATGGTAACCCGTGTGTTTTCTAACACAACAAATGCCTGCATAAATCATGCTAATTTTTCTTTCCATGTTAAAAAATATACAAATTTCTTACACAAATTATCAGCCTTTTAAAATCTTTGACTGACCTTTAGAGTTGAGCTGCTCTGTGATATATAAATAAGTGGTGACCAATTACTCTTGGGAAGAAGGAAGCTTGATGAATCACAGGAAATAGTAAATTATGTAGATTCCACATGATTCCCAGGGCTGCAACACGTTTGCCCTCCCTGCCTCTCCCGCCCCAAATTATCACTGGTTAGAATGGAATCTAAATTCAATTTATTCTTAGGGACATGGAGGGAGAGTAGGGAGGGGATTTAACAGTTTTTATCACACTTGGTTGGTTAAATTTGTTCTCCTTGGTGTTTCCCTGGTGTGGGATAAAACAGCCCTGTTGTGTTTGTAAGTGCTAAATTTGCTCAAATGTGAACTGGTGATTTTTGTGATAGAAAATGATGAAAGTGAGTGATTCCTTTAAAAGATGAAAATGCCAAGCATAACTACGGTGCTAATGGCACAGTGTAAGCCTGATAAGATTTACCACATCATCTCTGACTCAAAGTTTTAATGAATCCATGAAGTGGCAGTAGTATAAACTGTTATGGAAGAGCATGTTACAAATACTAATAGTGAATAGAATCAAGGGTTATGTAGTGAACCCGGAAACCTATTCTTTCATGTTATTCTATTGCTGTCCTGTCCTTTCTATTCTCTTGGCTTCCTTGTCAATTAAACTAATTGGGGCTGAAGATATTTCCCTAAAGGAGATATCATATTAGGGCATTTCAGGCAAAATCATTTGCAAGTCTTTTAACCTAGTCAGGATATATTAATAGTATGCAGAGGGTGGGGGTTGTGCATAAAGGAAATGCTGTAATAATGCTACACAGTACATGGTCCAGATAGTACTGTAAATGGGGAGTGATTTGTCTAGCTAGCTCCAGAAAACAAAAGTCAATTTATACAACTCATCAGCATGCTGTATTGTGGGGTACAGATTTTCAGATTAGCTTGGTTCACGGGAATTTCACTGGTCTTTACATAACAAATAATTTTTTAAAAGCAAAATAAAGAATTTCTTTTTTTATTTTCTTTTTGTTTGGTTCTCATATGTTTTGCATCAAGAGCCCTTGAACATTTATTTTGTAGAAAAGCATGATCTCTGGATTGTCAAATGGGGTTGGTCATTCTGCATTTAGTCTGAAATTAATTTTATATTTTTCTGATGTATGGCAGCAAAAGTATGGCAGGAAAAGTATGTGTGTGTATTGGGGGAAGGAGTTAGAGAGGTGTATTACTATGTGCCATAAAATATCTGAATCAGTTAAAAGTTAATTTCAGAGATGAATATTTATGTGAATTCTGACATGGACACAGAATTTTATGTGTATCTTTTTGTGTGGACCAGGAGCTGGTTCTCTGTTCAGCACTGGGAGAGGGACATGTAGTGGGGAGGAGGGGGAAGCCAGGGAGAAGACCTTGAGAGAGGGAAGATGTAAACAGCTGATGATTGGGCAGCAGAGGTGACATGTAAGCAGCCACCACCTGGCGTCTGCCTGCCTCACTGGCCAATGCTGGCCAGAAATGGGATGGGGTGGAGCTCTGCTGGCTAATACCCAGCATGCAGTGGGGTCTGTGCTGATAGAGCAGTACAGAGAGCAGCCTGGCCTCGCATGTTGCAGCTTCACCCTACCACCAGCCTAGCAAACCCACAGCTGCTGATGGACACTGGACTCCTCCCCCCATTTTGCTCATTTTAAAGAAGAAGTCGGGACACCTGTAGAACGGCTTAAATACAGAATTATCCTTTTAAAAACCTCTGGCAACCCTAGTCCCTAGACTCACTTACTCGATTACTGCTGCGTTGGTCTCTCCACTCAGTGAAGAACAGTTCTTTGGGTAAGACTTTGTGGTCTGTGCTGTCTTTAAACATCCATTTGTGCTCTTCCACTGCTGAGCGCTAGGGCTTGTATATGCTATGGCAACCTCCTAGAATCCTAAGATCATAGAATCCTAGGGCTGGAAGAGACCTCAGGAGGTCATTGAGTCCAGCGCCCACCCAAAGAAGGACCAGCCCCAACTAAATCATCCCATCCAGGGATCCCTCTAGGGATAGAGAGTCTACCACCTCCCTAGGTAACCCATTCCAGTGCTTCACCACCCTACTAGTTAAATAGTTTTTCTTAATATCCAACCTAGACCTCCCCCACTGCAACTTGAGACCATTGCTCCTTGTTCTGCCATCCGTCACTACTGAGAACAGCCTCTCTCCATCCTCTTTGGAATTTCTGTTCAGGTAGTTGAAGGCTGCTAACAAATCCCCCTTCACTCTTCTCTTCTGCAGACTAAACAAGCCCAAATCCCTCAGTCTCTTCTTGTAAGCCCCCTAATCATTTTGGTTGACCTCCGCTGGACCCTCTCCAATGTGTCCTCAGCTTTCTGTAGTGGGGGACAGAACTGGACGCAGGACTCCAGATGTGGCCTCATCTGTGAGAAACCTCTCCTGTGATTGCTTTATGGGCTGCAGCACTGTGCACTCTGGCTCTGCCCCCGCTTCCTCTTTCAGGTTCACCCCCAGCATTCCCCAAAAGCAGCAGTTTACTGTGGGGTGCATGGAAAAGTGACATAAAACTTTCCTGTGACAAGGAATCCTTGCCTGCTTGGTTATGGGGCTTTTATCCTTAATGCTACTCTGGCCCTTGGATGTAGCATTAAGGTGTTGGGGTGGGGATTAGGTTCTCACCCTAGCTCTGTTTAAAAAAAAAAGAGTAGTCCTCTGGCACCTTAGAGACTAATAAATATATAGTAGCATGAGCTTTTGTGGGCAAAACCCATTTCCTCAGAAGTCTGTAAGGTGCCACAGATCTAAATCATTGTTTTTTAAGTTAGACTAACATGGCTACCTGTGATAGGGTGCCCCCGTCCCTGGGTGCGCCCGCAGACAACCCCAAGAGCCGGGGGAAGGGAACGGAGACCGGCTTGCTCCCCCGGCAGTGCGGCGCATGCACCCAGGTCCACCCACTGCGTTTAAAAAGCGGCCGGACCAGCTGGTCGGGGGCGGAAGTGGCGGGGGGCGGGGGGGCGGGCG